ACTTATCATCCCAGAATTCCACGTCCATTAACCACAGGCTTCTTCTAATCATGCTACTAATTATGCTTATCTTCAGTCTGTAGTTGTGAGGAGCCTAAAACTTGAGCATTATTCCGGCAAATTACTTTTTTTCTGAACTATGTTCTCTTGAATGTTTAACTCGAGCGAATAGCTTCAACATCCTGGGAAGCTGATCCTATAATTCAATTGTGAATTTGATGCTTTCATCAATTTAGTCTATTAACTTCAGGAAATTGGCCAACCTTCTTCAATCATGAGACCAAAATTCGAAGTAGTCATCGGGTTATTGCCTCAGCAGTAGTAGTGGTAGCGGTGAGGTCTTGATGAAATCCTATTCTTATTTACTTGGAGGCATGAAGACCAAGATGATATGGCCTTTAGTATGCTCGCGGTCTCCATCGGTTGTATAGACGTTGGATGACCTTGATTTCGCAACTTGTTCGTATTATCCGGGAGACCTGGAGGAATGCAACTTATTTGGAATTCATAGTATGCATGATAATTTCAAGAGTCGGGCCGTAGACTTGGCACATTCTCAGACGTTTTGCCGGTATCATAGTCGGCATCATCAGTGAGCCTCGCCATTCTTAGCATCACAACACAACTCATCAAAGAGATAAATGAAGTCGAAATGCTGACCACTTGTCTGCTCAACAGTTATGGTAACTCTCCTTCTTTCCTGGTTCAGTCACTTATCCTATATCTTCATATCACCCCTTAACTATCACAATTTCTTACCCGCTCGTTTAAATCTGGTTTAAGTGTACCTTTTTGAGTGGATTTATTGAGATCTTTTCCCACTTGCCACATCCCCCGACTTTGCTGGGAGTGTTCGAGGTGCGCAATCCTCAATCTACAGGTCCTATCCGAGTCTCCCTCTTGCTCCGCAGTGTCTGTCTCTTATCGCCCTAGTTCGACCATTTTCAACAAATCTGTGTTACTCGAGGCGTCATTTTCTACACTTTTGCACGTACGCGCTAGCCTTACTGAGCAAACCGACAAAGTGTAAATTCGACCTGACGCTGTAGATTCCCTTATCAATCCGGTATTCTATGATAAAACTCATCGTATTGCATATAGACGCTAACATACACAAATATTCATACTCATACAATCGAGCAAAAATAACAGAACCAGTATGAAAGAAAATTAACCAACCCACTCTATATCGATCAATCTAGGTTTTTAATTTTTACTTTTTTGACTCGATTGAGTTTATATAAGAAGTAGGATGGAGCCAGATAGTGTTCTTGCTTTAGTGTTAACGTGAGACTTCTACAAGAATGACACCCAGCTCTGATGATGGACGAAAGCTCAGCACGTTTTCCCCCGAACCGAGGGAGAAAGTCTCGTGGACTGCGTCGACATGAATATCGTATAAAAGCTAAACGGCTGCAGTACAATGAGTTTCATCCGTCCTCATCTGGTGAAATCGACCCACGAATCTCCTCTTCATACACTTTCATTCGAAATGAAGATCCCTCCAACAAAGTTATCTCAGGAGATTCATCTAAACCAAGTTTCTCTTTGCATCTACTAATAGCCAAGTATCAAAGTTCTCCGTCGCGTCTCTCGCTCTTCTATCCATAATGTCAGGTCTATGACATTTCTGTGTCCTAGTCTCTTGTGCGCCCACCCCCAAATGTGATAGTTCAACTTGATTTGAGCAGGTTCACAGTAGGCATCTCCTCTTAGTTTAGGATTATTTCTCTGTGGTTTCCTTTAAATCTATTTTTTTGCAATTGAAAATATTCCCTTGATATAGTCGTCTTCTATTTGCTGAACTTGATTTTCCTTGAACTCCTC